TTTATAATCTTATGTATCTTATTTCATGTATTTGAAAATATTATTCTGAGAAGAGGTCCATAAGGTTCACCAGACTGCCAGAGGGTTCCATGCCACAAAAATGGTTAAGAACCCCTAGAATGGATGAACTCTTAGGTCCCTTCCAAGCTCAACACCTTTGAACAAATACACATGCTGGTTTTAGAGTCAGGAAGGTCTGAATTTGAATCTATCCCCTAATAATAACTACTTATATGACTCCAGGCAAGTCACTGCACTTCTCACAACCAAAATTCCACTTGTTCTAATTTTGGTCATAGTGGTGGTAAACAGAGATCCCAGGACTGGATTAAGGGGAGGGGGCTCAAATGAACTAGTGAATATGAATACCTTTTAAACAATATGAAGTGATACTGACAAAGTGTGTATGTGTGTGTCTGTGTGTGTCTCTGTGGGTGTATCTCTGTGTGTGTGTGTATGAAAGCAGTTTGTGGAATACGTATTTCTGGAATGGGATGCCATTAGCTATTTCTAGTCATAAGAAGTAGACACCAAATTCCTTAATAGCTGAGGCACTCTACTGAAATAGAAAGTAGAGCATAGTGAAATTTAAAGAATTCAGAATTCAGAATGAAAGGCCCTGGGTTCAACCAGGGGTGTTCTTACAGTCAGATGAGAAAATGGATGTAAATAAAGCACTCTGTAAACCCTAAAGACCTATATAAATGCATGCTATTATTATTATGAACCTACATTCACTAGGCTTCCACTCTGGTGATGACTTCATTCTCTGAGCATCTATTTGCAGTGAAGTCAAACACATATTGACTTAGAAGACCACAAATTAACATTGTCTATGTTGTATTGTATTTTTATTTATTTTGTTAAACATTTCCCAATTACATTTTAGTCCGATTCTGGTCTGCACTCTGGATTCTGAAAGAGGCTGGCAGTGAGTTTGATGCCTCTAGCCTACTGGACTCCAGCTGAACTCCAGCAATGTTTATAGAGCAATACAAGGGTACGATGGTAAATGTTTAACCACCAGGCTATACTGACATTATTAACACTTTCTTAAGTCTAGACAATCAGTAAAACAACAAATCAAGCCCTAATTTGCAGAGGTTGCTAATTTCTGAGGTGGAAATGGTCACACTGAAAATTTAACTATTGATCCTTGCTTAGGAGTGCTCCAATGCACCCCTGGTTCAAATCCTGGTCTTTTCTTTAAACTACACATTACCTCCTGAGTGACCTTAGGCAAGTCACATGACTTTTCCACCACAATTTGTTCACTGGTGAGATGAGGTGTTTTAATTCCATTCTCTAAGTTTTCTTTCATTTGTAAATCAATGATAACCTAATAACACCTTTAAAACTTCAGTTCTACTGGAAAAACCAAGAAAACAAGTTCACTTTCAATTCCTGAAATCTGTTGTCAGGCACCAAGTGACTTTGGCTGGTCTTAGGCATCTAGCATGATGTTTGATTACAAGCCAGAAGAAAATCACTCAGATCTAGTCAGAGGAACTGTGTGTGTGACAGGCTAATGGCATTAACAGTTTGCCTTGTTAGTCTGAGACATATCCGTCAGTGGTTACTGGCACTGATCTTTATGTCCTGTTTAGAGGAGAATGCATATCATAGAGTGAACCTAAATTAAAATAACATTGCCCGAGATGCTGCAAAGATTAGCTGAGTGTAAAAATCTCAGCTAGGAATGGGACAGCTTTACTGAATTTAAAGCACAGTCTTCAGTAATTAAGTAATCGAAAACATGTAGTTTTCTAAAAATAACACTGTGCCTGATCTAATTCATTACAACAACCATTGAAAGAGCTGCTTGCCTATAAATAAAGACCCCTGCTACACACACACACACACACACACACACACACACACACACACACCTGAGGATGAAATCCATTTTCTCTTGATAAAAGACCTATGGAATTATTCAAGTAATTCTTTGCTCTCTCTTCCCTAAGTGCTAAAGAGACATAGGAACTTTTAATTTATCAGTCAATCAATAAGCATTTATTAAGCACCTACTGCATGCCTGACATAGTGTTAGGCACAGGGGATACAAGGCAACAATGAACACTGGTTCATTGTTCACTTTTCTTCAAGGAACTTACATTCTACTAGAAGTATCATTAGGCATATTTTCTGTAGTTGACTGATAACTAGTGCTAATTAATATAGAAAATATGACCCTGACATGAGCATTGGAAGAACATGGCTGTCATGGCAGGATGAGTTATCTGTTAAATCTAATGTGGGGAAATTACAAACACACACACATACACACACACACACATACACATATATATAGCATTCTTACACAAATTTCAGAACCAATCTGAATCAATCAATAGCATTCTTACTTGAAATTCTGATAATCCTAATGTTAAAAATCCAAACATCAAACACAGAAAACAGTCTCTATTGATAATGGTCTATTGTTGAGTGATCAGTTAACCCATTCTCTCTTAAAATATGTGGTATTGATTTAACACATTTTTGTATTTATCTGTGCACAGGTGAAGATAGCTAGGGTAATATTTAGATGGCACAGTGGATTGTGTATTGGACTAAGAGTTAGTAAGGCCCAGGTTTGAATCCTGACTCAAGTACTTATTAGCCAAGTGATCAAGTCACTTAAATCATTCTCAACCTCAGTTTCCCCATCTGTAGAATCGGGATAATAATAGCAACTAATTAACAGGGTTGTTGTAGGGATCAAATGAGATAAAATATGTAAAGCACCTCATAAACATTAAAGAATTATATAAATACAAGCTAGGAATTATTATTATCCTACATTTCCCTTTAGAATGTAAGTGCCTTGAGGTCTAGGACTGTTTTGTTTTTGTTTGTGTATAGTACACCTAGTACTGGGGCAGCTAGGTGGCTTCTGATACTTACAGGCTGTGTGACCCTGGGCAAGTCACTTAACCCTGTTTGCCTCAGTTTCCTCATCTGGAAAATTAGAAGGAGAAGAAAAGGGCAAACCTCTGCAGTATATTTGCCAAGAAGTCCCCAAACGGGGTCATGAAAAGTGGACATGACTGAAAACGACTGAGCAACAACAAAACAACACCTTGTAGAGTTCCAAACACATAGTAGGCACTTAAGTATTTTCTGGGTTAAATCTGAATGTAGATCTATGATGGTAGCAACTTGTCCATTTACCTTGCCTTGTTTCCCTATGCAAGCTTTTATCTATGTTTTCTGGTAAACGTATTCCAGGACTCATTTCTTTCCTTCATTTAAATATTTATCTGGGGGCAGCTGGATGGCACAGTGGATAGGTCCCTAGCCCTGGAGTCAGAAGGATCTGAATTCAAATCTGGCCTCAGATTAGCTGTGTGACCCTAGGCAAGTCACTTAACCCCAATTGCCTCCAAAACCAAACAAACAAACAAAAAATCACCAAAACAGAAAAAGTTTATCTGGGAGAATGCTGAAGCTGGCTTGAACTCATCATGAGAATTCATTGTAAAAGTTTCAATGTGAGCATTTCCACCTTGCAAATCACCAAAATCAAGGCTTACCTCCTTGTTTTGTTGATTGTTGAGACTTAAGAAAGTGATGAAGAAAACATTAATATTACAGATTAAACTCAGAAGTGTGTCCCATGTGTATTTTCTTTCAGAGAGACAGTTGTTAAACATTTACCAGCACACCCCTGAAAACCTATCCCTTATCTTTTCACTTTAAATTTTCCATTCCACTCACACTGTATGTTAGTTCATCTGCCTTCACATTTGAATAGTTTCAGGGAGTAGGGGAGAGGCCAATTGTGCTCAATTCAATGAAATTTAACATTCTTTTATCAAGTACCTACTGTGTGTCAGGCCTTTTCCTAGGTGTTGGGGGTACAAAAACAAAAACTGAATGCTTCCAGCTGTCAGGAAACTTGTAATTCTACTTGTGCTAATTTATTAATCCAGTATAGAACTCCTCACTTTTCCGTTTTAATAATAATTTGAGCTATAAAATTCTTGGACAGGGAGTTCCACACCAAGTCACCCTTCGTACAGAATTGTATATAAACTGTATTATCATTTTTATGTTCTTTTCAGAAGGTTTCCATGATTTTTCTCTTTTGCTTTACCATTTCAGATTTGCAGCATTTTAAATGTTTCTTACTTCTGATCCTTCTAACTTCAGTTACACTCTACAGCATATTCAATAAATCATAAAACAAATGTCTGGAAAATGTACACTTTGTAAGGGTTCTAGGAGCTCTGTCTTGAAGGTGATAGAGTACCCAAGATAATGAAAAAAGGCTAAGATTTATTCAGCCAAGTGCCTGTGATAGCTAAGACCTTTGGAGAGCACACTGGTCTTATGCTAGGAATATTTTCTAACAGAGTATGCCCCACAGAGGAGCTGGTTTAGAAAACTAGGAAAATTGCTCACTCATATTTTGTCTAGAAAGCCATATTTTAAAACCCCCTTTGACCTCAAAGGATATGAATGGATCATTGATACCAGAAATTCCCCACACTAGTGAAATCACAGGTTGAGCACCCCCCTTAAAAATGTTTTCTGCATCTTCTTTATTTCTTTAAAAATACTAATATAAAAGGTGTACTGGAAAGAACATGAATTGGATTTAGAGTCTGTGAATTCTGACTCCCATTGTGTGACCTTAGTGAAGTCACTAAACTTCCATAAAACTCAGTTTCCTTTTCTGTAAAATGAAATGTAGATGACCTCATAGGTCCCTTCCTACTCTAAATCTATAATCTTAACTTCTTCAGACTGAATCAATTGAATTCTGTATTCCACAGGGTCAAATTTACAGGCTATTGGGTTTGATGAAAACAAAATGATTTTGAAACAAGTGTGAATACTACAAAAATGTTCAAACATTGCTCAGTGAGAAAATACCAGCAATAGGGCAAGGACAAAGTTAATTCAGTTACAGAAAAGCTAAAGATACAAGAAAAGTTATTGGGAACAAAACTTCATAAATACATTTATATTTTTCTTTGTTTTCTATATTCCAGATTCAAAACAATATGTGGGCAGGAAATGCAACGGGTGGCTCTGTGGTGACCTCCTGCATGCTGCCACGTGACACGTCCTCCTGCATGACACCATATTCTCACTCGCCTCGGACAGATTCCGGATACACTGGGTTTTCAAACCACCAGAACCAGTTTGGCCATGTTCCCCTCAACAATTTTTTCACTGACTCTCTCCTCTCTGGGGCCACCAATGGACATGCATTCGAAACAAAGCCAGAGTTTGAAAGGAGGTCTTCCAGCATCGCCGTTCTTCGAATGAAGGCCAAAGAGCACACTGCCAATATTTCATGGGCCATGTAATATACAGTACCTCTTTATTTTTCTTTTCATAGCAAACCAAAAAAAAAAAAAAACATTCTTCTTTCTCATATTTAAAGGATGCAACAGTAAGCTGCTGCGTGGGGGGAGATTGTGAAAGGTCAGGCTAGACGGGGAGGCCAGCTTACAATGAATACTAATATTATTTAACAATAAAATCTAAGAATGAATCTGTAGAGGGACTAAATCGGTTTACCATGCACAGATCTCAACCAACCCTGTTTAGTGGTAAAGCCTTTACTATTGTACCAGTCGATGAAATATGATCATAAAACCTGCTAAAAGAATAAATGTATTAAGCAAATACCTTTGCTAGAGATTGATTTATGTGACTGATTCATACCAAGGAATTCCCTATAAATTAATACCTGATCGAGGAGGAGGAAATCCACTGGGGAAAATTTCAGTGTAGCAAGTAAATACTGAAGTAAGGTGTTTGGGGAATTGAGTGCATGTCTCCTTTCCGGTTCCCCATCCCAGTGGGCATAACTCCTCCTTGCTGACACTTTGATATTCAGATTTTCAAAGAGGCTTTTAGATCTCTCTGTTCTAGGACCTTTCCACTGTATGAAGAATTACTACTCAAAAATGAGCAACATTTGAGATTTGGGGTCAGCTGTATGAACCTATGTGGTCAAGGGTGATAACTGAAATATGCTCGTACTGAATTCACATACAATTTAAAGGCTAATTTTTCTAAATGCCATCTTTCTGTGGACCTAGTGGTTGGATTACTTCAAATAGAGGGGGAAAAAAAGCCTACCTGATTAGGGATTTCAAATAAATAAATAGCCCAAATGAGAAAATCAACCTTTTTATTCAAGTGGTTTATAGTCAGTGCCCTGTGTCTAGTTAATGGAATATATGTATACATATATGAATGTATGTATATATGTACATATGTGTACACATATGTGCATACATATCTGTGTGTTTCCTCTTGGATTTCTTCTACCTTTGGCCCTCAAGCCACCATTCTTTCACATAAGGAATGAAAATGTCCGAAAAGACTTACTCAAATTCCTGTTGAGGAAAAAAAGAGGAAGAAAAATAACTTTGCATCTGGAAAATTGCTAACTCCTTTGATTTACTTCTCCTCCCTTTCCCCTGTCACATTCCAAGCTCCTTCAGATGAGTGAAATGTCAGCCTCCTTGAAAGTAACAGTCAGTCTCCCAAGTTCATAAAGGCAAAGTAAATTAATTGAATTGAAGAGGACTTCATTGGCTGTGATTAGCACAGGACACAGATTTCTGTGTGCCCCTTGAATCGTCTTGCTAATTTCACTAGCTTTGAGGGGCATGGGGGTAGGGTGAGGAAGGGAGGAAGGGACACGAAGAAATAAAATTAGAAAGATTAAATTCCAGAGAAATGATATTTTAGTCCTATAAGTATCCCCTCTTCACTAGGAAAATATTTATAATAAACAGACATGACTTTTTGTAATAAAATTTTAAATCAAACAGATGATCGAGATGAGGGACATCCTAAACCAACATGCCCTGACTTCATAATAAACTTTTGTCTTTATTGCTCTGGGTGTTCATGCTTTCTTCTCTGTGTTACCCCAAAATGAACTTCTTAACTTTTGCCCTTGGAATCAAGAGTAAGAAAATCTTTTCTCATGACTAACTTTTTTTGTTTTTAAAGGGCTGTGTTTAGAATGTTTTGTGATTTAAAAGAAAGTTGTTTTTTTTTTTCCTTCTGGGTACATGATTAGAGAAAATACGACAAAGTATTACTCTAGAAATTGAGCTGAACTGAGAATATGGAACTTTTGGAATTTTTTTTTTAAGGGCTGAATTTTTCTCAGATGAAAACGTTTTTCAGTTGCCTCAACTCTCCGACTTAAAATTTGCCAGAAAAATACTAAATATCCTAAAATACTTTGCCTGTATTTATCATTCCCTTTTAACTCTTGAGTTCCCTCAAACTCTAGCCTTTGACTAACGAAAATCTACAAAGCAAATTTCATTTGGTTAACAACAACAACAAAAAGAGTTTTAGTTAAGATCTTACTAGCCCAGAAAGGCTAAATGATATACCTTCCTTCCATATGTTTATTATTCTTACAGTGTTGGTAAAGGAAATATTTCAGTCCAGTTCACCATTTGCTTCTTTAATGATCTTATTCCCGACTTTCTTCAGTAATATTTTCTTCACTTTAAAAAGGTGATTTACATACTCCCTTTCCAATCATTTTGGTTCATGTTTGGACTATGTGATGAGACATAAATTAATGGTCAATGGGGGCAAGGATTCCAGTTTGCCTCAAAAAAAAAATAAAGTGAAATATTGTTACGGAACTCGTTTGTGAGTTATTTGAAAGTATGGTTATTTCCTTTCTTTTCTTACAGTGGGTGCATTTTTTTTTTTTACCAATTCCATAGGAAAGTAAAAACAAACAAACAAAAAAACAACAACTTACTGAGATCCTGGTTTTCACTATTCACCCCTTATCTTACAAAGATGATAAAGTTATTTAACCCTTGTAACACTGAGTAAACTCATGCACTTGTGTATATAAATTGCATAAACATATTAATTCCTGGCTTTTCATCTTGCCTGACCTCTGTCAAATTCTTCTATGTCCGAAGGAAAAAAAAAAAGACTCCTTTCTTCACATCAGCCAATCGTTAAAACAGCACAACAGCCATTTATCCTTTTCTTCTCTCACCCTTTCCCCTGGCTTTTCCTACCTTCTGCTATACACAATCCTTCCCACCACTCAGTCAGATTGTAGTCTCACAACAAAGGTGTGCTATGTCTAAGTTTTTGGGAGAGAACCACATTGTAATACAATCTCCCTGTGAGATTGTGGGTAGAACTGAAATCTAACAAATGATTTCTTACAATTCAGGAATGAAATTGCATAGGCTTTATACCTTTCAATCTCTCTCTTACGCAGCGTTAAACATAATAAATGCTAAGGTTAGGCATAGTCATGTTATAGGGTAGTAGATTCAGTCAGAAGGGACCTCTGATGTCCTGTCATCTAGTCCAGTCATTTTGTAGATGATGGAACTGAGGCCCAAGGAGGTGAAGCGTCCTACCCAAAGATACACAGGTAATAATAGTAATGGTCATTAGGGATGTTGCAATTACTTTTTAAAAATATAGAAAGGTTCTTTATTTGTAAGTAAAGTTGGAGATCATGATTCAAAGTCAGAAAGGACCCTGGACCTCTTCTAGTCCAGTGGTATCAAACACAAATAGAAAGTGGATCACTAAATCATAGATAAAACTACATATTGACTTAGAAAATGACAAATTACCATTATCTATGTTGTATTATGTGTTTATTTTGTTTGTTAAACATTTCCCAATTCCATTTTAATCTGGTTGGGGTGCAGTACAGAGTTTTGTCAGCTACTTTCCCCCCATGAGTCTGATATCTCTGTGTCCAGTCCAACCCTGTTATTTTATAGATGAGGAAACTGAGACTTGGCATGGTTGAAGGAACTTTCCCAAGGCTGCACAGGTAGTAAGTAGAAGAGCTGGGGGATTTGCATAAAATAATAAACAAGATCATTTAAAGGATGTAACTTCTTAAAGGGGATTCACAGGCATTCCTTAAATCAAACCTACAATTCATAGCCCAACAATTCATATACCAGATGTGCAAGGTAGTGTCAAAGGTTTTCTGGCCCAGTAGATAGTCTGTTGGAGTTGGAGATGGGAAATCCTGGGTTCAAATCTTGCCTTTAGCACTTCTCAGCTGTGTGACTCACTTACTCTTCCTCCCACACAACACCCCATCTCTTGTCTCCCATCCCTGACATGCTCCTGATGTCTACCTCTCAGGTTCCCTGGTTTCTTTCAAGTCTCAGCTCAAATCTGACATTTTGCAGGAGACCTTTCCTGATTTCCCCAGCTTCTTCATAAGATAAACCTTCCATCTACTTTTTACCTATCTTGTAGAAAGTGCCCCAAAAGTTTTTGTGAAGTCAAACCTCACACCCAGTATGTAACTAGCTATTTACTTGTTATCTGCCCCATTAAAATGTGAGCTTCTTAAGGGCAATTTTATCTTTTCTTTGTGTATTCCAGGGGTGAGGCCACGTGACCTCAAGGCCTCAAGTTCCCCACCCCTGGACTATATGAATAACTTACTACAATGTTTGGCACAGGGTAAGTGCTTAGTAAATGCTTTTTGATTGATCGAACTTGGGCAAGTCAATGACCTTTTCTGAGGCTCGGTTTCCTTATCTGCAACATGAGAAGAATATTAACTCAAAAAATTGTTGTGAGGCTCAAAAAAGATAGTGTATGTAAAAAGGTTTTGCAAACATTAAAGTGTTTTATAACCATACATTTTTATTCTTTTTGGTTTCAGTAAGAAATTATAAAATAAATAATTGTATGTGACCATATATTTTTCATCTAGTCTAGTTGTTCCCAAGCTTTTGGTCATGGCTTCAGGCAGGGACAAAGTGAATCTCTAGACTTGCTAATTAATCCAGGGGAGGGAGTTCTTATACCCCTTCTTGCCACGGAATGGTATATAATCTCAACAAACCAAAGTCTGGGGCACAATTGGGCAGATAAGTTGATATTTTCTCTCAAAAATGCTTTACATTTTATATCCTGACTTGAGAGGGGCATTCAGTATACTCATTTTTGCATGTATTTCCCATAATTTGTAGTTCAGATATTTTCTTCTAATCCTGTGCACATGCGACAAATTGTTAAGATTTTTTTTTTTTAAAATCATCCAGAGGGTTAGCAAAAATTTTCATCCAAAATCAGGCTCTCCAAATCATTGGAATAGGAAGCTAGCTACCTAGGAGTTGCATGCATGGAGTTATGCCAGGCCTGTCTGGCCAAAAATATCTTTTGCACTAGCTTGTAATCATCCCTGAAGTTCCCTCCATTAAATACATTCCTGTGGATTGGACGATTCCTTCCAGAAGGTCCTTATGAAAATGAAAATAGATAACTAACTATCTAATAAATTAGTGGTTAAGGCAGGGGGCTCTTTGAA